AGACATTCAGCCCGAGTTCAGCCAAATTTCATTCGTCAAACATTAAGAAGCAGCTGTGACCAGCCAGCTGTTCTGCTACGCCATTTCCTTTTTCTTCCTCTGCGGAGGACTACCTGGCTGTGCTTTACGCTCTTCTACCCCAGCAGTATTTTTCACATTTCCCCCGGTGAGCTCGGTCATAACATGCCTGCTGCCCTTTGGAGCATCTCCTGACCTTTCAGTCTGGACAGATCTTCTCCTGCAGAGAAAGTTGGGCTCTAACCGGAGAGCTTTAAACTACGGCTGTCTAAGTGTCTAAGAGGGAAAACATCTCCGTGTAGCTTCAGATGACATTTCAAAGAGAATATGTGTGAAAATAGATCATCTGAAAGCAGCTGGCAGCTTTAAGCAGTCAAAATAACTGAAGATCCACCAGGAAGCACATCGTTTTACTTCGCAGCATCTATAGGAAAGCAAATCTTGTTCTCAAACCGAAGCATGTTCCAAAATAATCCACATGGACTTTTATCTATCCTGACTTCTTGCTTTGATTTGCAACAGGATGTCCATTTTAAACCCCTCCCACATCCTGTCTCCTAAAAAACGCTGTAAGCTCCATCAGCAGTCAGTGTGCTCTGCATGAGGCATATTTCTGCCCTGAATATAAATGCTGGAGACGCATTTTAATGAACCTACAAACCAGCAAAATTTACAGCCTCTCTTAACCCCAGTGTTTGTTTTCATGCAACATGCTCTCCTAAGTATGATTTATTGCTCTGTTTAACAAATCCCAACACTTAAAGGACACCTGTCCTGCTCACTGCTGACTGTCCTGAAGTAGCTTTGCATGATTCACGGCTCAAAATAACTCGTCTGCACTTTACACTGGGCCTGATTGCAGCTTCTCACTGCACCCCGTCTGAAATGCTGCCCTCCGATCCTCTAACCGGGTCTCCTCCTCCACAGATTCTTAAACAACAGAAGATCTTTACAGGTTAGCTCTTAGCCTTTATCATGGGCCTTAGTTTGAAACTGAGAGTGTGGACGTGTGTGCTGCATCTTCAAACATTTATTCAAACGTCAAAGTTTGAAATTCATTTTGCAACTCGCCGTACAGATGAAGTCATCATTGATCTGTTATGGATGATTAACTGTGACATCGTGCAAACATTAAGTTAGTTCATGCGAAGCTGAAGAAATCAGGGCTTTGAGGGAACTTAAAGCGTGCCGTCTGCAGTTTGGCCTCCTGCTCTGACTTCTGTGGTCCGAACAGGGTTTGATGTTCCTCGTTCAAACAGGGGAAGAGCTCAGAGGGAACGATTAGCTGGGTCCTCTGTGCTGCCTCAGCACTGTGGAAAAGCAGGGTTTTTGAGCTCCACGTCTTTGTTAACAGATGGTTTTAAATGAGAGGTGAGGTCGGGGACGATAGTGTCGCTGCCTGAGGATGGAAAAATACAGAGAGCAACTGTCTCAGTAGGAAGCAGAGCTCAGATTTCACAGGCAGCACTTAGAGAGCGAGAGCTACACGGGTGTTTGGAGGCTGGAAACAAGTGCAGATTTTAGTGTCACATCAGCAGCAAAGAGACAAAAAAGACAATGACGATGTTAGTGGATGAAGTGAAGAGTTGGAGACTTTTGCATTAATCTCCCCAAAGTCTTAGTGGGGGATAAATGAAGTGCACATGGTCTTTGTGCTCAGATGAAGCGTCAGGTCTTCTTAGGGAGTAAAATTAGTATTTTTGAGCGATTTCAACAAACCTGGAAACATAGCAGAGCGCTAGCATGAAAACCCCCGGGACGTTTATCTGGCAGACGCTCGATTGGATTTCATTCCTCACGGGTCCTGATCCCAAACATTTTTCAGCAGGGAGAGGGCAGCAGAAAGCGTGGAAGCACCGGATGATGGCAGCAGATTTAGTGAAGACACAGTCCTGGAGGGGGTGGCTGCTGCATCAGAGAGAAG